GTTTGGTTGGCAGTGTCTCCTCATTACATAGGTATGGGCAGAGAGAGTGTTGAGTATCTGCAATCTTCTTTCCCAACGCCCCCTGTTTTGGCAATTTCATTTTAATTCAATTCAAGTCACTTTTAAACATCCATGATGCCAAATGTCCACCTGGTATAGAAAAAAAACAACAACTTTATTCATTTTTCTAAAATTCACAAAGCTATGACTTAAGACGTCAGCAGTCGCCCTTTCATCATTATTGCTCCGTTTTGAGAACTTTGTGGGGGAAAGCTTTGAAAACAACTTCTTTACGTATATAATTCAATCCAGTCGGTGTCAAGGTGAGGAGGGATGTGTCACTTGAATAGAAGAACGCTAGGGCAATTTCCTTAGCTGTACACAAAAGTGATCTTCCCACACAAAATTCAATAAAACCTCGGCAATTGTGCTTTAAGTACAGTGTTCATGTAAATAAGACACACTAATTGTCCTCACTTTTCCCGAACAACTTTTAGGTATGATTTAAATCTTAATGGAGTCACTTTAAAATATAAAGTAATTGCCAAGACTGTACATATTTGTATACAGCGCATGCATACATTATAACACTGCTTTACTGAGGATGGGTGCTAGCAGAGAACCTGAGCTCAATCTGTCTGCCTCTGCCTGTGTTCTTTGCATCCTGCGCGGGCCGGATCTGTTGCCTTTTAGACCGTTTTTTTACTTTGCATTCTTGTTTTCAAGCTAGTTGGCTAATATTGAAGAATGAAGATTAACTTGAGGTTAGCAAAGGCCTACATTTCATAACAAATTTTAAGTTTTCTGAATTGCAAAATGTCCTACGGAGAGTAAATCCCCATCATTATATTTAAAGCAGGAGGTGGAGCTGAGAACACTTGCAGAGGTCCCATTGGATTTGGGTGATTTAGGTAACTGTGGTCTACTTAAAAGAGAACTATGGCCCAACCTTTTTTTGGCTACAGTTCTCTCTTGAGTCACAGGAGTACATTTATTAATGTCCTCCTGCGACCCAAAACTCTGCTCAGAGCCGCGCAGCAGCAGGGAAAAATCCAGCCAGTATTGTATGTATAGGATCTAGCCGGCTGCCTGATTGACAAGCTAGCTCAGCCTCTAGAGCAAGAGTCAGCTGTGCCCCTCTATACAAAAATGACTGAGCCAAGCAATACCTGTAAAAGAAGAGTGTAACTACTACCCTTTGCTGATGCCTGCAGCGGTGAACGCTGCTCCGATCCTGAAGTCTTTTGCTGAAGTTTCTAGGGGAAACTGGCTCTTCTGGGAGTGTCGGTGTCCTGGGTTCCTCCATGCATTCAGGGCTGGATCTACTCTCTGTTGCCCCAATGCCAGGTTCCTCAATGCATCCCCCTGTATACAGGATGCATACAAGTGATCTTGGCGGCTTCCCCACTGTACATTTAGCCTTGCTTGCCCAAAGCAGGACTAAATGTAGAACACAACTACCCGCCCGGTGCCCAGAACTGCATGTCCTGGGCTTAGGGAGATAAAAATTCCACACCCCTGCTACTCCCTGCTGCCCCGAGGCTGGGCCTGGGTTGGCCTTGTGGGAAATCCGTCCTACATGCATTAAAGCATGCAGCAGCTCCTGTTTTGACCTGCTTTGCTGTACAGCAGAGTGTGCATGCCTTTTCAAACTGGGGAAGTAAGCCATCACAAAAGCAGGACACCGTTAACTGGCTAAAACATTATAACACAGTGCTGCCAATTCTATAGAAGGAAATCTGTTTCATAGGCACCAAGCTGATGTTAACTATTTGTTTTACATGGTTTGCAGATGATGTGAAGCAAGTGTTTGGGCAAACTACGATTCACCAGCGTATTCCGTTCAACTGGGACTGCGAGTTCATTCAGCTGCACTTTGGAAAAGGCCGAAAGAGGCTCCTGCCATATGCCGAGTTTACTCAGTTTTTGCTGGTAAGCCTTAGAAAATGATCCGTGTATTTGGGGTGTGGAGTAGCTCTGCTTTTAAAGAGTTTAATTTAAAGTGGACCTATCAGTAACTTGACATGTCTGCAAGCATACATTCCTTACATGTTACTATGCAGCTCTGTATTCATTAATACATTGTTAAATGTCTTTTTTGATATGCAGCTAGTGTAATTTCCTGAATTTGACTTTGTATGAGTTTGTTGCAATCCCCTGTACAGCACCAGAAGGCAGGATTAGGATCCAATCAGAAGTGTTGTATGCAAATATACTGACAAGGAGGGATACGAGAGAACAATGTGAGCGGAGAGATAAATTAATCAGTCTCCCGCTGCCCCTTCATTGTCCAGTCAGCAGGCTAGGGGGTGAGAGAGAACACTAATGTATCCTCTCTAAATTCTACAGTTGTGACTAAGAAGGTTGTGTCCCCCGCCTGGCTGTGCTGCGTTGCAGGGGTTTATGTAAATCTCAGAAAAGAATGAAGAGAAGTTCATATAGTTTGGCAGGTAAAACCTTGACTTTATATATATTTCACCAGTGTATTTAGCTGGCCAGAGTTTAGCTTTAATAGACCGTCCTTGAGGGCTCAGTGAAATGACTAGGCTGTCAGAGGGAATCTGGTCAAATTATGAAATAGTTTGCTGCAGACAGGAGGAAGCACTTGTTCAGTCTACTGCCTTCCTCTGAGCACTGAGTCTAAAGCTGGCCATACACCTATCAATTTTTTTCGTTCAACCCGCGGGCTGAACGAAACAAATTGACCCCATCCCAACCCACAAACAGTGTGTGGATCGAGGAATCTGCACTGTTTGCATTTTATTCCGCCAGCACCTGTTAGAATACCCGATCAGAGCGGGCAGCTCATTGGCTCCCGGCTCTGATCGCACAAAGATTTTCCAGCTGGCTCCTTCAATCAGCTATTCAAGGAATGTCGGCTAGAAAGGGAGCCGACAGCCGGTACATGAAAAAAACGGCTGACATTTGACCAGTGTATGAACACCTTAACAATGTAACAAGTCACAAAAGAAAATTCTAATGGAGTATAGGGCCTTTAGTGTATGCAGAGCCAAACATATCTTTTTGCTGTGGGTAGCGTAGACACATCTCAGGTTTTTTCTATCCTTTTTCCTGTCTTTGTTTTGGGGACATTTCTCTTTAGTCCTTTTTCCAGGGACACAGCACAAAGTCAGAGGAAATCTCTCTAAAGATGGGGTATATCTGTCACCAAAGCAGTGTCCCCATTGCAGTATTTCCACTTTAAAAATATGTTTCCAGTTGTCATCAATGTGGTCCAGTGCTGTCCCAGGTCCTCTTCTTTCTCCATCAGTGAACAGATTCTAACTGCTGCAGGGAATGTCTCCATGTAAAAACGTGCAGCATTCTCCTGTAAGGAATGGGGCAATCGGCACAGCCTTGATGCACTGCACTCTGAGTGGGGTGAATGCAGTTGGGATGCAAGTAGCTGCGCTGGATCGGCGACAGATGAGGAGAGGTCTGCGGGGGACAGCTCCCGATATTGAATGATAATTGCAGCTGGAGCTTTTCTTTTTTTGACATAGGCTTGCTGCATTCGTTAGGAGAAAGTATCTTCTGTCTAACCTAATTTTTGTAAAGTTATTAATTCCATTGCTATATACTTGCCCTTTTCCATTTTTCATCCTGTCATTCTTTCCTTTTGTCCCTTGGTCCGTCACAGCGTCCTTCTGTTGAATGCAAAGCTTGCGTTTCCACTAATAATTCATTGCTTGCTGAAAAGTGTTTGGCTGGGTAACTATTACAGCGTTCCAGCGCTGGGCAGCTTTTTATGTTTTGCGTATGAGTTATACTCTTGTTACCATGTCTAGACCTCGAACTGTCGGCAGCTGGAGCCCGAGCGTACGTGGAGTTGTTAGTGTGAAGTCACGTCCTTTAATGTCGCTCCTAACCCAGTCCAGATGGGTCCCTAATGCATTTTACATGTAGCTTCCCTGCACCGTGCCATCAGCCACAGAGGCAGTAAGCTGCAGTGATTGAGGAGCACACGCTGCACTGTGACGTTTCCTTTTTTAATGCATCAGTCAGAGTTCCGGAGGTGGAAGCTGTGGACATCTTTTTTAGATGTCCTGGGAGATGAGCATGATGTGGCTAGATGAAAGCGGCTACCGCACAGAACATTGCTGTACATCTGCTACTAACTTTTCCTCCATCCCATTTCCTTAGAAGAGGTTTCCTTCTTTTAATGGGAATCTCTCACAGATTGTCTCCATGTTTTAAAGCAACCGGGTCTACTGACATTTTTATGACATTTCCTTTCAAATTAAACCACAGGAATGCTTTTTTTTCTCTAAAACAAATGCATAGGTCCCAAATTTAAAAAGCTTTGTCCTGGATTGCTGCAATTTAATGTAGCGGGATTAGCAGTAGAGTTAAAGTGAATCTTTACCCCCTTTCACTAAAAATCACATCAGCATGCAGCTCTGCACCCTGATATCATCTGACATTCATTAGTTAAACATATATTTATTTTACTTAACATTATTGTTTATCCACTTCTTGGTCCTCTTGGGCATTAGTGATGTAATATGCCCAAGCATTGCATGCTTGGAAAATTACATCAGCAGAGCATTGCTGGGAAATCTCATCTGTAATCTCACAAGATCTCAGGGAAAGGCATGTTCCTCCCCTGAGTTGATTTGCATATTGTTCTCTGTTCTAATTAATAATTAGCATGTTGATGAAGGAGGAACCAGGGAAGGAACATATAAGCTGGTTAAGCTTTAAGTGGCGTAATATTGATGGCTGGAATCATCTGCTAACTGCCATATTTTTTATTATAGGAAATCCAGCTGGAACATGCCAGACAAGCCTTCGTACAGCGTGACACTGACCACACAGGCACAGTCAACGCCATGGACTTCAGAGATATTATGGTCACTATCCGTCCACACGTCTTGACCCCATTTGTGGAACAGTGCTTAGTTGCTGTAAGTGTGGTGGAAGTAATGAGTAAAAAGACTTAAACATGTTTCACTAAAAAGCTGCACATCAAGCGTATGATACTCCCAGTGTGCTACACAAATACAGCCCAGTCTTATCATAGGAATCCTCTTGTGTACCAGCTCCTCATTTTCACTTTTGCTGCTTTTGAACTGAAGGGGAAAGCCATTCTTCCCATACCATTGTAGGAAACAGATTATACTCTGCCGTTGTGTTAGTAGCTTGGCTCTGATGTTCCAGAGAGGCTGGTCATTTTTATTTTGACTCTGGAGGTAGCAGAACTATAATGTTAATTATAAAAACAAAGTACTCAAATATTTTACTTTTTAGGAAAGTTAACACAACTTACCATAGCTTCGGCCTTCAGCGACTAGATGAGGGCCACACGATCATCCTTCTGGCTAGATCCCCGGGAATATTGAGCAGCTGAGATCTCAAGAGATGATGATCATGCATTGGTGTAGGATGCATTGTGAGATTTAGGGTACGCAACATTATTATTTATTTATTATTATTATTATTATACAGGATTTATATAGTGCCAACAGTTTGCACAGAGCTTTACAAAACTGAGGGAGACGATACAGTTAACAATGCAATTTCAGTACAGGTAGATAGGCGGTCCCTGCTCATCAGAGCTTAGTAGGAGGGGCAAGTGATGCAAAAGATAATTGTTTGGGATGATTAAATGGAAGGACTGAAAGGACGGTTATATCGAGGTGGAATAGGCCTCCCTGAAGAGATGAGTTTTCAAGTATCGCCTTGTTGTGGAATATCGATTGAACACTGGTGACTCCCTGCAGTATAGAAGCTAGGGGATGGAAAATGATATTGACAAACTCTGCATCCTTCCCCCAGGACTTTTTGTATTCAGTTTAGTTGAGCGAGGAGGGGCCCCCCTCACTAAATAAGCAGATTTTGCTTGGAGCTCCACTTAAAATAGTCTGAAAATCAAATAAGACTTTTATGTTCTCTTGCCCCACTCAGAGGTATGTGTAGAAATATGAAGTATGTTTAACATTTATTATCCCAGGGTTGTTTGTCACATTGCTAATGCATGAAGACTTTGAAAACTTATCGTCCTTTTTAGTAAAGATCACTTGACCCAAATGCCTTTAGCACTTAGTTAGGTCAGCACTTGGGGAGAGGGTTTTCTCTGTATGTCTGCCCACCCCTCCTCTCCCCTATCCATTCACAGAATGCTTTGGAATTTGTGGATGGTTTCACAGGGATTTAAAAGTGATGGAGATATTCAAAATAATTTTATTTTCTGAACCAACAATTAACAAAGGGAATTGAATGTAGTTTGTGAACACCGGACAATTGGGCAATAATATGCAGTTGGACTCCCTTTGTAGCCTTTAGTCTACTGTATACTCTTGTGGGAACAAGAGCATTTGTGAGTTCAGGTACTGATGTTGGACGAGAAGACCTGACTCTCAATCTGCTTTCCATTTCTTCCCGAAGGTGTTCAGAAGGGTTGAGGTCAGGGCTTTCTGCGGACACACCATGTCATTATGGAGCTGGCTTTGTCCACTTGAGCTTAATAAAATGGTGGGAATGTCCTCTGTAGTGTAAATTGAATTGTTTTTTTTTTTTTATAGGTTATCCCTCACCCAGCACATTTTTTTGTAGATTGCACAAACATTGTATGTTCATAGTGTTGCATGTGCCAGCTGTGCAGCCATTACAAACACTTGTGACACTCTTCTTTATATGTATAACCAAAACTTTTTTTTGTGTAATTTTGGATAGAGTAGGCAAGTGCTGAAACCCCCCAGGTTATTTTTTTTGTGCCTTGCTGGTGAGCTTTTTCTTCACTTCCTGTCTTGGAGATGCAACACCAAAGTGAAAAACAACAAAAACTTGGCAGTGGGTCTAACCCTTCCACATGTCAGGCAAAACTTAAAGAAAAAAAAAGGTTTTGCCTTTTACCTAAATTTGAAGGAGCTCTCCACTTGGTAACCAGGTAAGCAGTAAAGCTGAGAGAAAATGATGCCCTCATTGAAGGGGATTGAGACCTTCACTATATGTATAATAAATCGGTGTGTGCACTGAAGAACCAGTGTTCACCCAAAACAGAAATATGCGTTTTGTAGGAGTTGCACTTTACGGTGCATTTGATCCAACAATCAATGTAAACGGCAACCATGAAACATTTTACCCTGAAAGATCCTTTCTATTCCCATAGCCCATATCAGCGTAGGCTTTTTAATATATTTAGTTCCATTTTTTCCCCCCAGGCTTTTTTCTTCCAGCATTACAGTGAGATGTTTCTACATTCATTAAATGAAATAAATAGACTTGTAAAACATGAGTGACCCCGGCAATATTTAATGTATAGCCTTGTAAATCACCGATGCCTGGGCCGCTGTAATCCACCACATGTGTTTGTTTAGGTTTCTGCTTTTGGTTTCCCTCAGATGCTCATAGGGGAGAGCTTTTATGGACTTTATTAGCAGGCAAAGACTCTTTTTCTTTGACAGTTTGAATTCTCTTCTCTATAAATCTTTGTGGACTCTGCAGACTTTTTATTTTTTTTCTCTCTCCCTCAAATCTCTTTATTTTAAGAATGTCTTGCTAACCGGTTTTCTCTGCCAATCCTTTTCATTTAAGGCTGCTGGAGGTACCATATCTCACCAGGTCAGCTTCTCCTACTTCAATGCATTTAATTCCTTGCTGAACAACATGGAGCTTATTAGAAAGATCTACAGTACCTTGGCCGGAAACAAGAAAGACGTGGAGGTCACAAAAGGTTGGTGCTTCAGCTGTACGTTGTGCACTTAAAGGTCTGACTTTTAAAGCTGAACTCCAGCCAAGAGTAATAAAATAAAATTGTATAGATGCTTCCTTACCTTTTGCAAAAATGCTGGCCTTTTGCTTTTAAAGTGTGTTCCTCAAACATGCCCCTTATTCCTCCCATATCTTGGTAGTTTTGGTATATGCAACTGGGTGCTGCTATTCTCTACCTAATGGAGAATTCCCGCTTGGGCACATAACCTCCTCTGAGTACTTTAAAGGAGGAAGCAGTGACGTGCTTACCTCACACTTAATTTGTTTGTCAGCTATGCCCTGAACACAGCCCTGAGCACCATCTGCATTGCCCACCCAGTGTCTGTGAATTCCCATAGTATCATGGGAAATGTAGTTCCCATTTTGCACTACAAAACACATTGTATGTGATGTGTGCCGCCTCTTTTGAACCCCCATACCCCCCCCCCCCCCCCCCCCCCCATGCCTAGGTTACAATGTCCACATGGTCCTGCATGCAGCACACGTGGACATGCCCCAGAATGCATGGGCCTGTGGACACTTGCATTGGGAGTGACAGTGACATGTGGTCACACACACCCCCACCTTCACCTGCAATGCAAACTAAATCTTAATAAGGGAGCAGATGATGTCACACAAGATAAAAACAATTACACTTAGGGGGTTATTCACAAAAGGGTGAAGTGTTTGGGGAAGGCAGAAGAAGTGAACAATCGAGGCCAAAATAGCTGATTTTGAAAAATTCGCCAATTCAGCTCATTTTCCAGTTCAGCGATGTTGTCCTAGATTGTTCACTTCTCCTGTCTTCTCCAAACTCTTCACCCTTTTGTGAATAACCCCCTAAGTTTAATTGTGAAATACCCCTTTAGTGTTTTTCTTTCTTGTTAATTAAGAGACACAGCTTTCAGTTATTCTGACACAATTGGGTTATATTGCTGCTTTCAGGAGCAGTTGGACAAAGCCACTGACTGACCAGCCAGGTTTATCCCCTCCCACTCCCAGCATGCTTTGTTTTTTTGCTAATGTCCAAGTCGGATGGATGTCTTTTCCCTTCTATGAAAATTTTAATCACTTCTATTAGTCTTTTTTATTTTTTCCTCATCTTTTTTTCTTGTCCCTGCAACACTGATTTTATGCTAAGCACCAAAATCCCTTTTTTTAATTGTGGATGTTCAAATGAATCCTGGAGTTCAGCAACATAACGGGCAGATATAAAAAAGTCCAAATCCCATTCGCATTGCCACGGTCTCAAAACCACAAGGTATATGTGGTGCCCAGGTGACCACACGGATGGCGCCGTGCAAAACACTAATAATAAAAGTAATTCACAGGCACACACTTGAAGGGTTTTAAAGTATTGAATAAACATATCAATACTTTAAAACGCTTCAAGTGTGTGCCTGTGAATTACTTTTATCTACAGGCAGATATAAAAGACACACACATTTATACATCTCTGTATTGGTGAATACATCACTAAATGTATTTTAAATGCTAGCAGTGTAAGTACCTGAATTAGATTAGGTATCCGCTTTTTGCAGTCCCCGTACAGCAAAGTTCAAACTGGGGGAGGGAGCAGCAGCACAAGGGGCCAGTATGCTGCTCTGCCTATATGCTAAGATGGTACGTACTGATGAGAGGGGATGGCAGAGTGATAAAGAGATGAGCTTATCAGTCTGCTGCTTCTCCTTTCACTCTCCAGTCACACACACTGGGGGAGGTACAAGACTTGTGGTTATTTGCAACAGAAGAAAGTCAGGTCCTTTCCCCTGCCAGACAGGGCTGTGCTGTTTGGCAGAGCTGTGTTAATATCAGAAGTGCCTAGACAGCATTACAAGTCCTTTGGCTTGTAAAACATCTCCTATGGAAGTCTTTTTTATATTTTATATTGGTATCTTGAGTGCGTGATCTGTTTTAACATCTAGCTTTTTTTTTTTTTCTTTGTTACTATTTCTTACCCACCACTTCTTTTTTTTTTGCCATTTAACTCCAACATGTGAAGTTCGTGTGAATTACCTCCTCCATGTCACACATTTGCAGTATGTTTATTCTTGTCTGCTCTGCAGTACTTGAAACACCTTTTCAAATTTTTTATGTCTTTCTGCCAAGTTGGAGCATTAAAATAAAAAAAAAAGAAAGAGAAAAAAAATTGCAGCCAAGATTTGGGTGAGGAGCTCACGGATAGCGCTAACTGGGCCCTAGTCCAAATTGGCAACATGTTGACATGTCCTTGAAGGCGAGTTGAGTAGGGTACTGTACTTTCCCCTTGACAGTTCTGCGAGCTGGTCGACAAGCTGGGAACATGATGTTATCTCTTTCTCCATGACCACATCTACAGTTTCCTTTTTCAAAGTTAAAACCCCTTCTGGGTTTTCCATTTAAATAGTCGGTCCTGAAGGATAAAATATCACATAGTGATTCACTGAAATGATAGCAGCTTTGTGTTAGCATTGTATCTCTCACCAAGAGAACCATTCGTATTTTTTAATGATCTTGTAGCAGCTATTTACATACCTTTTTTGCTGTCTTTTTAAGTTTCCCTTCTGTGGAATCCCAGACGTTTTGCGTATGCTGTGCGGCAGTTTTGGCTTTCTAACCAAGTCAGGCTTTTGCGTACCCCTTTTCCCTCCTAATTATTTTAATGGGTGCCACTGTATTGGACCGTTTATAGTACTTCAGTATTTCAAGCAATTATATTATTTCTTTATAGTGCATGTCTGGGCAGAATATAAAAAAAAATATTCACTGCATCTCTTCAATGAATACGCATTTCATGTTCTGTTATTCCTTAAATAAAGTTGTAAGCGCAGAAAAATACCTGTGGATCCTGCCAGAAAACCAGTCTGCTTCTAACTTCCCATTTGGGCTGACATTTCTGCCTCTACTGCACTGAAAGCCCACGCAGTATTATCAGGGCTAGTTCACAGCAGTCTCAGTGTTTTCTGGCCGGAACGCGCTGGATTGTATTCCTGCCCGGCTCAATCAATTGATCAGCCACACGGGAACGCGTGGCACATCAATGCGTGCGTTCCAGTCCGGTCAGAAAAAAATAGTGCTTGCAATACTATTCGATGCACCACTATGTCCCCTCCCGCCCTGAAACAAAGTGAGTCGGCACGGAATGTGATCCAGTGCGTTTTGGCCACAATCGGGCCGGAACGCACTGAGGCTGGTGTGAATTGGCCCTTAACCCTGCCTGAGTTCTCCTATGTTGGGCTACATAACGCCTCATCCTCTCCTCATCTCTGTAGTATAAGAGGGAGGCGTTTTGGAGTCCAATCAGGTGAAAATTCAGGCAACACTGCTTGAGTTTTCAGTGCAGCAGAGGCAGCATTGTCAGCTTATTGCCAGAAGTTAGGAGCACACTGAATTTCTGGCAGTATGAACAGGTACTTTTCTGTACTTGCAGTGCTTTTAAAGATGAGAAATGTTCATGCATTGCAGAGATGTACTGAATGTTTTTGGTTTTTTTTAAGCTATACGTTTTAAAAGTAAACTCCAAGCGTGTGGATGAAATGTTTTCATAGATATCCTTTAGTACTGACATTAAAAATTGACAAGGACCACCAGGTGTAGCTTAATTATCCCTCGTCACAACCAGACCCTCTAAGTCGCAAGGCTGCTTATTTCAGCAGCGTTGTAAACGACGTCCAGCACAGTCACCTTCTTGACGTTTTTCTGAGAAGATTTTCAGTGTGCTTCACTGAAGGGTAACACACAAAGGAAGTAGCGCTCCTCCACGGCTTAGGAAAGGAATACGCCGGGTGCTTGCCGCTGAAAGCTGTCTGCACATTGGATTCCAGTGGAATAGTTTATTGAACATTGTATCCCATCACTGATGTCCTGCTCAGGGTCTACCCCCTTTGGCACATTTCACCCAATCACGGGCTTAGTCATAGAAGAATCATTGAAAGGTGTTTTGGAAGGCTGATAATCTTATGGTGGAGCTCCAGGCAAACTGCTAAATAGACCATTGAAATACATTTATTGGAACTGTTTTACCGGACAACAGGGCAGGAGACTTGTTTTCTCTCTGCTGCCTTTTTAGGATCACTTACCGGTCTTGTTCCTCCACCAGCCTGTTACTGTTACTGACGAGGTCATCTCTTTGCTCTGCTCTCTCCTTTTTCAGTATGTATTACTTTTCAGCCTTTGTGCGCGCGACACAGGTGATTTCCCCCCAATAATAGAGTGAATCGCAAGGGGGTGATATCAGAATTAAGTGTAAGGTAATTTTTCAATGTCTAAGCACATGATAGTAATGATTTTTTTTTTGTATTTTCGGCATTAAGAAGCGGAATTTTCCCAGCAAGCCAGTCACTAATCTCTTTCTCTCCCATTCTTGATGCAGAGGAGTTTGTACTTGCTGCACAGAGGTTTGGACAGGTCACACCTATGGAAGTAGACATACTTTTCCAACTCGCTGATTTATATGAGCCGCGGGGGTGAGTAAAATGTTATAGCATTGTTCTTACAGTTAAATGCAAATATATGTATGTATGTATGTGTGTGTGTGTATGTATATATATATTATATATATATATAGAGATACATACATACAGGTGTGTGTGTATATCTATATCATATATTCTAAGCTTTTTGGGGCATTTTCTTAAAAGCCATTTCTACTTTTTATTGCTGACAAAAGCACAATTTAAAAAAAAAAAACATTTTTTTTTAACGTAATTTTTTAAAATATTGTAATTGAATTACATTGAGGTATGCTGCCATCCCTAGGCCGCAGTGCCATCTACAGACTGCAGGCTTATTTTGTGAATGAAGTCAGATGACATCATGGTCACATGCACCCCTCGGATTTGGTTCCTAATTGTTAGTGGGGACCAGGGCTATCAGTCCAGCCTGATAGATAGCAGTTGCTCCCAGACTAAGGGAGGACATAGAATAATGTACCTTTTAGTACGGGCGTTGTTTTTTCTTTTTAGCTGATTTAATTTCTTTTTTACCATGTAAAATCCAATTTTCACATATAAATGTTTACTACAGGGTTACAATGGTATCACAGTGTGTTATGGCATTTCTAAAGAGAGATCAGTGCATAAGGCATTTCCTTTAGAGTTTCTCGCTTTCTCTTTCTCTTCGTTAACTCCTGAATATAGTGGAGAGTATACACTGAGTGGCCAGGTTATTATGACCACCTGACATTTGTAGGCAAATTAGCTATAATTTTGCGCTGAAGTTGCTAGAGGGCCAGACCATTATAAATAGGGAAGCAGGTTGTTTACCACGGCAGTAGAAGGGATTTGTTTCTGAAGATACGGGTAAACAACGCTATTGAACAGCCTTTGAACGTGGGATGATTGTTGGCGCTCGGAGCATGGAGCGAGTATCAGCAAAACACCAGAATTCGTTAAATGTTCAAGAGCAGCTGTTGTTAAAGTGTTTAAAGACCGGACTGTCAGCCGAAAATCTGGGTCTGAACGTGCAAATTGTGGCCGTCAGCGAATATACAATGTTAGGGCAGAACGGAGAGTGGCAAGATTGGTACAAGACAACAGAAGGGCAACAGTGCATCAAATTACTGCAGATCTTAATCAGGGATCCTCTCAAATGATCTCTGAACGCACTGTTCGCCGTACACTGCATCGTATGGGATATGGAAGCCGAAGGCCTGTTCGAACACCTTTGCTGTCTGCAGTTAACAAGATAAAACGTCTCCAATTCGCACAGGAACACAAGGATTGGACAGTCGAGCATTGGAAAAAAGTCATGTGGTCCGATTAATCATGTTTCCAGTTGCATCATGCAGATGGCAGAGTGAGAATTTGGCGGGAACAGCATGAAAGCATGCACCCCACATGCATGAGTACAACCCTTCAAGCTGGTGGGGGCAGTGTTATGGTTTGGGGCATGTTTTCCTGGCATGATTTGGGCCCTTTAATTCGTGTGGAACAACGTCTGAATAGCACAACATACCAAAGTATCGTTGCTGATCAAGTTCATCCTATCATGTTGATGGCGTATCCCAATGGAGATGGCTTCTTCCAACAAGACAATGCGCCATGCCACGGTGCTCGTATTGTGCAGGAGTGGTTTCAAGAACATGAGGGAGACTTTACCTTGCTTAGGTGGCCCCCACAATCACCAGATCTCAATCCAATTGAGCATTTGTGGGACGAAGTTGAAAGAGCCATCAGGCAGCTGGTTCCACAACCATCAAATCTCACAGAACTGGACAGTGCTATTCATCAGGCATGGTGTCAGATTCCTCGCATCACCTTTCAACATCTCGTGGAGTCAATGCCAAGAAGAATCGCCGCAGGATTGAAGGCAAAAGGTGGCCCAACGAAGTACTGATGGGGTGGTCATAATAATCTTGCCACTCAGTCTATAAAAAAAAAGCCACTAGGGACCCACTTTAAAACTGAGTGCGAATGCCACTATCCGTTCTCCATAGGACACTTCACACGAAGTCTACATTTTACATTTCATAGATGAAATGCAGAGCACAGTGTGTATCTGCATTGGCCTTTTGGAGCGTCCTCTGTATAACACTTCCATGATGGGAGGTGTGGCCACATGACTTAGGGGCCCACTGTTGCATTTTAAAAGCATTACAAGTGTTAAAACGTGCTCATGCCCTCCCCAATAAAAATAGTGCCTGTTCCAATCTCTGCACTGCAGCATATTTTTAAAAATCACATGTCCTTTTTTTTTTTCTTTTTCCTTTTTTAGTGCATTCAGAGGCCCATAGAAGTCAATGGCAATGCATCAAAATGCATATAACGTGTGTTTTCATGCATTTTGATGCTTTGCCAACAGGTATTGACAAGCCTTGGCTGTTACTTCTCTCCACTCCGAAAGCTAAATTCAAAAACTCATTGAGAACGAGAGTCAATAAGTAGTTTACTTTTGTCAACGCAGAAAGGAAATGCAAACTAACTCAGGACACCTCGCCTTCCTAAAGCTACAAAAATAACACCTCTACCCTCATGCATAGATCTGAATGGGCCCCAACAGTTTCCTCTTCCTCTCTGGGACTTTTTACATTTGATAAAATGAAGAGCCCCAAAGCAAGCCACATGGAGATGCTAATTGTTTTTCTTTTAAAAAGCAGCTGGATGGCTGCTATAAGGTCATAGTGCTTATTTTTGTTCATGTATCTGTATATATTAAATATTTCTACTACAGAGCTAGAATGAACATGTATCAGAAATGTTGTGCTTTGTCCTTTTCAGACGCATGACGATGGCCGATATTGAAAGAATCGCTCCTCTGGAAGAGGGAGCATTGCCCTACAACCTGGCAGAAGCCCAGAGACAGGTACAGCTATATACTTGTCAGTAAAGCTTAGCATCTCTTCTGCAGGTGGTATATATAGCCTTTGCCTGCACAGTGGGGGAAGCCATGCTGTACTCTGAAGCAATATTTGAGAGAGCAATTTTTTTTTTCCCCGAGACACCGGGAGACCAAGACGTTACCGATGCTTGACATTTCTCATGCCGCTGTGTTTCCTGTAATTTTAGAGGTCATATCATCTTCGATGTCTTTCCACACTGATGACCCTTGTGTGTAAAATGATACTCGCCTTTACGGCGCCGCTGTTCGTGTCCAGCACTGTGATGTTCCTTCAGCCCCAGTTGACAGAAAAATAGAAGAGGAAAAATGAGAAGTCTTATAAAAGTTTAACTGTCGTGAAAGGCATTGAGGAGCTGCCATTGCTATTTCTTCTGAAATTAGTTGCCTGGCTCTCATGCTTAATATCTGACTGCAGTGCTTTGAATTACTGAGCCCGGGACAAGCATGTGGCTAGTGATGTCAAAAGTGCTTGAAAGGCATATTTGTTCCAGGTCTGTGGTGCAAATAGTGCTGACCCTTCATGATACACCAGCAACTGACAATTCAGACGGAAATCCAGAGTGACAGCCCCTATAGTACTATCAATTCGACTTTCCTGTAACAACCTTTGTAGGTAACAAATTTTACATCATTGCTTTTTATATCCACTGGAACAACCCGCAGTGGAACTGGGCAGATGAATAAATACAGAGTTTAAAAAACATGACAATCACATCTACAGTATTTGGATCTAGTAGACATCCTCTTCCAGAGCCATATGCAATAATATAGACCTCCCCTCTCCTTTGTGACTGGAACAGCCTCCTCTCCTCTGGAAAGACTTTCCGCAAGACTTAGGAATGTGCGTGGGAATTTGTGCCCATTCAACCTAAAGAAAATTTGTGAGGTCAGGTATTGATGTTGGACAAGAAAACCTGGCATGCAATCTGCATTAAAATTCATCCCAAACGTGTTCATTAGGGGTGAGGTCTGGGCTTTGTGTAGACCACTAGTGATGGGCTCGGGCGTGATCGTAGCTCCACGTGGCCAGCCCGCCAGGAAGCTGGCAGCGCCAATCACAGGCACTGAGACATATCCCGGTCCGCAGCTGCAGAGATCTGGAAATGTCTCCGTGCCTGTGATTGTCAGCTTCCTGGCGGGCTCGGCACGTGGAGCTGCAAGATACTTCTCAAACCATATCTCTATGGAGCTGGTCTTGTGTACCCAAACTGATATATATATTTTAAAACAGGATTTCACTGGCCTCTGTAGATACAGGCACCGTGGAGTAACTCATCCTACAAATGAAATGCAAGCTCTAACTGACCTCTTTGGATGCAGGCTTTGTGGAGTAACTCATCTTCAAAATTAAATGAGCTCTCACTGACACCTGTAGATGCCGGCACTGTGGAGTAACATCTTCAAAATGAAATACAGACAGCACTTTTACTGATTTTTCAGAAATGTCCCAGCTGCCAGCAGTGACTTGACAGCCTGCCAGTCTTCTAATCTGTAATGTAAACCCACACATGGGTGCACATGAAGATGGCGGAGTGCTGAGATCAAATTTAAAGAACTTCAGTGCTTCTCTTTTGAAATTTGAGCATGATTACCCCCAGAGTGCCTGCAGCTACAGAGGTCAGCGAGGGCTTGTTGTAAAGCTTATTTGATGCTTGATGTCATTAAAGCCGGGCCACAGTTCTACTTGGAAAGAAATGCTAAAGAGCCACTATTACCATTACCACATCTTTGTATATTCAATCACACCTGCACCAGACATATATTGCATTTATATAACTTTGGTTTGCGGCCGGTTGCTGGCTTAACAGCGTCAGTTGACCACCTTTTTGTTGAGTTATTTATACTACATTGACGAAGATGTTCCACAGGAAGTTTGCGGTGTGCCCAAAAATGCCTCCACCCATCTCACCATCACGTTAAATTTTGCATTACCAATGGGTTTCTTCATTATGATTACAAAATGATTTTACGGAAATCAGTCTGGTATGCAAGACCTTCAGATAATAATCACTCTCTGCATGTTCAATCATATACATACAATTTATTATTGAAAGTCTAGTGACTGTATGTCTGCCAATCACCTGACAGGAGATCCAGACTTCCTGTCTTTAAAGTGACTCTGCCACCACACGGTCACTTCTATCATAATGCCAGCTTTGGGCGACTAGTGTCAAAACTCTGCCGCCTTGCTTCTTCCCGACTGCTCTAGGTATTTAACGGTTCCGTGTGTGTTCAATACCAGATACCCCCCAATGCATGCTGTAGATCCTCCCAACGGTTCCTATGTCCTGTAGTGACGTACAATTCCGGCAAGAGGCAATACAATGTGCGAGGACTGGGAGGGAGCAGGTATTCACATCCGTGGTTAGCACTTCGTTTTGCAGCACTGGGGGACCCCAGTTCCAATCCCAGTCAGGACACAACTTGCAAGGAGTTTGCATGTTCTCTCTCTGCTAGCATGGGTTTCTTCCGGGTTCTCTTGCTTCTTCCCGCACTCCAAAGACATGCTGGAAGGTTAAACGAGAACTATGGGGTAAGTGTTTTTCCCCATAGTTCTCTTAAGGGTCACGGGAGGACATATACTAGCGTCCTCCCGTGACCCAGAGCTCAGTATAGAGCGAGCTACAGCTCGCGGTATACTGATACCGTTGCAGCCGGGACGGAGCCCGACATTACTTTCGAGAACCAACCAGCTGCGTGATTGACAGCTGGCTCTGCCTATCTGGGGAGGGTGTTCCTACTGGGAGCGGTGACTGACGGTCACGGTTCTCTGCAGGGAGATTACCGAGAAGTGAGCGTGCAACGCTATATGTTCGCTCACTTCCCAATCTATTGAGCCAACGTGGGACAGTTTCATTGTCGCGCGTCGGTTCGAACTATGAGGATGAGTGATTTTCACTCGCCTCATAGCTCTCCTTTCATTGGTTCCTGTCTAAATGGGCCCTGTATGCATGAACAGTAGGGACTTTAGATTGTAAACTCCTGGAGGGCAGGGACTGATGTGAAGGTGCAACTGTGTAAATTGTTGGCACTACATAAATACCTGTAATAAATGAGTGTTGAATACCTCCTCACCTAGAGTTTAAAGGCACAGGCCACCGGCAAGGTAAGTATAGATGCTCTTCTTTTACAGGCTGAGGTTAGTTTGGAAGAGACCCTGTGATGACAAGGTCACTATGAGATCTGTGTGGAAAAGCAATACGTTCCAATCCTCTAATGAAAATGCTGGTCTGCTGGCTGTCACACTGATGTGATTCGCACTTGCTGAGCCCATGGTGTTCTGATTCCAGACTTCATTTGCTTGGATCGGCGCTTAGAAAATGTTGAAGCGAGAGGATTACCGGGACTGCTGGGCAGTTGGCATTTTCGGGAAGAGGTCGGCAATGGCTGAGCCCCCACATTATCCTCTCAGCGCAGGTTTCCTTTATGGTCCGCTGTGATGTCCTCATTTGCTATATTCCGAGCTTCATTTGGTCTCCCTGGCTGCTCTTAACCCTGCGTCTGCCAGGAGGGAAAGGTTCACAGTGTGCCTCACGTATGTTTCATTCATGTCATTAGACGACTCCGTAGCAGCCTGCTCTTGTGTTTAAGGCTCTTTACTCTGTAGGAAACGAGTCCTCGCTGAGTGCAATTATCTTTAAGGGCTGCGTCTTTTCATGTGAAAGCACTGCAATTATACATACATCACTCTAATTACATCCATTAAAGGGACACAGTGTTTTGTTTTTTTTTGTACCTTTTTAAACACTGGTAAAAGAGGAACATATAGTGTTTAGGAGCGTTTCTTTGTACGTCTTTCCTCCCAAAGTACCCTAGAAGCACGACAATTTTATATAAAATATGTTCTCGTTTTGATGTTTAATATAAATATATAATTTTTGTCCTGCTCTTTGTCTTCTATTTTAAGATGATGGATCTACATATATATGTTTGTATTATGTAGTTATTTTTTTTTCTGACCGGTATAGCTGTGTCTTGCCTTTTTACATTTCACATTTTGGAAAAATAGGTCATCGCCATCTATTTGAGGAAAAAGAAATATGACAGGTTTGCAATTTGAAGCATTTGCATGCAACTCCCAACTTCTATAAATGAATAAAATAAAGTAATTATAAATTATTACTCTAGCAGTGGGACATCTCTGCCATTGCTCATTGCAACCTGCACGCCTAGCTGCTGTTCATATCCAGGTCGGGACTGTGTCCGCAAGCAAGTCCCAAGCTGCATGCGGGCAGGTTCTGTCTTGGGTTGTCTGATAGAAATGCTAACTCATTAGGGTTACTGTTTATGTACACCTTAACAAGCTCCTCTTATTTTCTTCCTTTTTGCTATGTTAAATATGCCATTGAAAGTGTTTTTGTTATATCTCGTTGAGGAGTTCAAATAGAATAAAAAGACAGGCTCTGCGGTGTTTTTTCATGCATTGTTGTCGGCCCTGCCCAGTCCAGTTATGAGCTATAAATAACACCCCCCATGTTATGGAAATGAGAAGAAGAGCAGGTGTTCTGTAGTCCTGTCCTGGGGTGACAAAGCAGATACAGAGTACGGTGAGCTGCCAAAACGTTTTGGCCAAAAATGGTACCATGGGCAAAATGACGATAGTACCGTAATGGCTGAAAACGTGGTGCATCTCGAACGCCTCTTCTCCCCACTTGAAGCCAGTCTGTGTCCCTTCCGATGCCCGCTGCTCTGCCCCGCCATTGTCGGCAGAGACAGCAGGGGTCCTGAGGGACACAGACCGTGGGGCAGTGCAGGGAGGAGAGAGCTGTCACAGAAGGCGTATCTCTCCTCCCACACTGCCCTGCTCAGCCTCTTGGGACAGGCGATGGAGTCAGGATGGAGAGCGGGTTACAAGCACTCTGCGATCAGAAATGATCACTGAGTGCTTCTAGATAACTGAGGACATAGTATGCTTACTGTGTCCCCAGTTATGAATGAACAGGAAGTAACAGGAATGAACAGGA